TTTTTTTGTTTATAACTTTTTAATAAAAAACGAGCGACGGCTAAAACCTTCTGAAGGTCACTCAGGAGGGTGACCTTGACAACATATGTCAAGGTCAAGGTCATCGGAGGTGCTTCCCCTAAACTGCATAATTACCCTATTTTTAAATAAAAAAATCGTGTTAGATAAAAATAAGTATGTTGTCATAATAATTGTAAAATGGAGATTTCTTCAGTTTGAAACTTTGAAGAATAAATAATATGAATCTTATTTATATTTGTAACGTATGACTAATTTTTAATCTAAAGACGCGCCCGCCACACCGCATAATCGATATATGTATATGTCTATTATCTCAACGGTATATATCTCGCGGAATCGATATCACCCTTTTAAATAGGCAAACAAAATTATTGGTAAAATATTTTTCAAACGGACAATAAATTTTGTAAATTGGAAGACTTGCAATTGTCAGCAGAAATTGCGAACACAATTGCAAATATACGTTTCGGTGAGAAGCCGCGCGCATCGCGACGTCGCGTTGCGTCGCGTCGCGTCGGGTCGGCGGGCGCAGACCGGCGCGGCGCGGCGCGCGGCGCGGCGCACGAGTGGTGGCACGCTGGTGGTCGTTGTCGACGACGACGACGACGATGACGACGACGACGACGACGACGACGACGGCGACGACGACGACGACGTATGCGCGAATCTCCGTCAGTCGGCGACGGAGTTGCCTGGTTGCAGCGTGGGTGGCACGCGCGCGCGTCGGTCTGCCCGGCCAGCTCGATTCGATTAAACTTCGCCGCAGCCCTCTCGCTCGCCGCGAGCGGGGTGAGACCTCGTGCCGTGGTTGCTCGTTACGCCGAGCGTCATCATCCCCTCGCGCGTACGTCGGAGTCGCGTCGCGGGACGCGAATAAACGTCTCGCGACTCGCGCGTCCGCATCCCGACGCATTCGGAGGATACACGGTCGCTGATCGTGCCAGGATCGGCCGCCTCCCATTTGTACGTCGACACGCGGGTGCGAGAGGTAATTGAAAGAAACCTCGCGAGGCTGTTTCTCGTTCGCCGTTCTCTCGTGCGCGTGCGAACGGCGAGATGATTACGCACCGATCGTCGTCCTTGTGCCGAAAGCGCGGATTGTGCAAATCTTGCGGATACGTGCCGGTGGGATTTAAAAGTTCCGGAATTTGCGAGATATCAGTCTGATGGATTGTCGTTTAATTTCCTGTGTGTGTCAAGGTTTCTCGTTTACTCCTTCAATAAACACATGTTCGTGAGAGCATTGAAATGTTGAACAATCACAAAGATTATATCAAAGAATCAGATCATTGTTACTTATTTGCATATTTTACAAGCTTAATTGGCAAAAATTTTAGATCTCTGATAACTCAACAACAACGTTTTAAGGAAAAACCGAATTGTACGAGTCAGAATCATTTCGTATGTATAAAATTAAGTTTCGATCTATTTTGATAATAAATTTTAACAGCACCCCTACTTTCTTGCAATCTTCTGCGAAATATATTATTTACGTGCACTTGTTCTATAATATGCGTATATCGATTTATCGGAACTCATTCTTTGAATCTATGAAACAGATTTGTGTCACGCTTTACATTTTAACGTTACTTTTGTCGGCTATATACTATAACGCACAACTATCAGTGGCTATCATTCAATGTCCGATATTCAATTACACACCTACGCTTCCTATACGGAGGGGATGCGGAGAGGGTTCATTTTATCTGGTCATCCGCTCTCCGAAGAATTTATATCTCATATCAGAAGAACGTTTTCTCCGTTTCGCGGGACTTGGTGGATTCTTCTACGGGATATAATCGAGAACGGAATTTTTTTTATTCAGTCCGCGTTGGACAGCTATAATAACGTTTCGAGTATCGAATTACTGGACAGTAATAATATAATTTTAAATATCGGATTATCTGACTAATAAAAGTATTATTGCGATTACGGTTTATTCCAATCATTTTTATCGACTTTTCTGCTCTTTCGCTAAACGTCACGCAATAATAGAGTGTATATATAACTTGTGCTGATTGACACTTGAGCATTATGTAAAAATTCCTGTCTTTCCATTACTCTGTGTTTTGCTATGATTGTTTTTCTTTCCGTGTGTTGTATAAACGAATAAGTGGAAGATGCGCCATTAGATTATTCATACAGATTATCTATAATAAAGACGAGAATTGCAAAGAATGATAAAATTTTTTTCTGTGAATATAGTGAAGAGACAAAGCGGATATAACTAACAGACATAATTCACAGTCAGTATTCAAAGAAAAACGAAATTTTTTTAAATTGAACATCCTTGTATTTTAAGAAATTGATAAAATTAATTAATAAAATAGATAAGTAAATTTGTTACAAAATAATAAGAAAAATTATTTCAAAAAATTTTTATATCTTATCGCGTTTATTAAAGATAAAAATACATTTCATGTGATGATAAGTAAAACAAAAAAATTAACTTTTTTTTTAAGTTAACATCTTTGTCTTTCAAATAGATGTTTGTTTCAGAAAGTCTTCTATATTTATTAGTTTTTATATTATTATTTTATATTTATTTTGTTTTTATTTTTAATGTGATATTATTTACTTTCGAAATAGTAATTATTTTATATGTTCACATAATTACTGCGCAGTAAAGATTGAACAAAAATGATTAAAAGGGTTTGTCTTGGATATTACATTGATGGTCGGAATGTGTAAATACACTCGGCTACCGGAAACCGTGCGAGATGAAGTCTTATCGGAAGCGCATCCGTTGAAGTGAAATTGGAACCAGCTTATGACGAACTTTGTATATCGCACATGATCACCGGCCTATCAAGAGAAGAACGTACAAGTTCACCGCAGCACAAGCGGCATTTATCCAATCAGTTCGATGTTTTACCACTTGAATCCTTAACTGACATAGAAAAATCAATCTAGTTAATGATAAAGTATCTTTTAAAGTTTTAAACTACTTACGTCTTCTTGAGATTCTTTTGGAATCTAAAGAATCTTTCTCTCTCTCTTTCTCAGTTTTTGGAAATATTATAATTATTTTTATCTAAAATATTTAGGAACGCAAAGAAATAAGAAACAAATTATCGCAGTTAAAATTAATATCTTTAATTATTTAATTATTTTTTGAATAAAAACTAGAAGCAATAATAAATGAAACAGAAACCGATATATAAAAACTAGAAGATAAAGTTAAAAAAAAGAGAGACTTTAGATGTCTTTTTAAGAATTAAGGTTTATTCAGCAACATGTTCTATTATCTTTATTATATTTATTATATTTTCTATTGAAATTTAATAGTGCTTAAACAGGATGTGACAATTCTGCATTTCATTTTTAGCTATCGAATGGTTTCCCGGATATCCGTTCTTGTTTCTTTTGTAAGAATCGCGAAATTGCTTACAATAAAAAATTGATTTATTCAGTCAACTTTACATCACACATTACTTAATTTTACTCTACGCTTAAAACTACAGTATGACAAGGTTTTGATCGTGTCGAGGAACTACAGAAGTCTGTCTCGCAGCCCGAAGCTTTCCTTTTTATAAGGCCTAAACAAGGGTTTTCTGGTTTCAGAATAAGTCATCGGAGTGATTCATCGGAAAATTAGTTTTTGAAAATTATCATTTTTTTTCAAGATAGAATAGTTATAAAACTTTATCTAGAGTTTCTTATCATTATCGCATTCTTAAAGGTAGGTACGCGGACGATGCTCTATTGCGTGAATTGTTTATATTATTATTATTTCTACAATAAAATTTACTATTTTATTCAATTTCTTTAATTATCGAATCTTTAGATGAAGATCTGAAAAATTTACTGAATAAACCGTTGATTAAAAGAATAATAGCTATTATTTAGATGAAAATTAGAGCATTGTAATTATGTTTCATAAATTTCAATTATAAATGACTATAATACCTATTAAAAGTTATCTCTTGAAATTTCGAGTTGTTAATACATATGTCGCAGCTAAACTACAGAGTGGCGCACATAAAACTGGCCCCGAACAAGTTTTTCATAACTGTATTTTGCATTTGGAATCAGTTTTATGTGCACCACTCTATAGTTTAGTCGAAAGAGAGATAATATATACCATAAAGGAGTAAAGATCTTTGATAAGTAAGACCTCTCATGAAAAGCATTGAAAGTGACTGACTCTCGATTTCAGAACGAAACTCATCAACGAGATAGTCAATCACGTGTCAGCATTCTCGCAAAGCACGGCGGCTGCTCGATGACCGTCTTCCCTTGTCGAGAGGACGAAGAAGCCGAGGACGAAGAGAACGGTGACTCGCGGAAAGACCGGTGTCTACGTCGCGATCGGCGATGTCGTGCGAGAGAATCAGGAAACGAGCGACGAGCAGTTGAGACGTCCTTGTGGAGGATAAACCGATCGCGAAATATAACGAAATCGACAGAAGCCCAACGAGATCATGTAAGACTTCTGATCTCCCGTGACCCCGAGAAAGGCGCGACCACAACAGCATGATGTGGAAGGCGAGATGGTCACGCTTCACTGAGTGCTTCTGCCGACGGCCCGTCCTCGTTCTGGTTCTGCTGCCGTGTCTGATCGTCGTCACCCTCTACCTCACTTGTAGCGACGAGTACGAATACGACGTTTTACAGTATCCGTCCTTCAAGTCGTACAACATCGCTGAAGGTGAGAGTCTTATCCCCTCGTATATCGTTGTCAATTCATTATTCGGACCCTGGTATTTGTGGTATTAATACTAATACAATACATAACTATATCTAACATCACAATATTATTCTACTACTACACTGCCAAGTGTGTAATTTTTACACGCATAAACGTATAAAAATAACACACGTGGCTAAAGCTATTTTTATATGTTTCTTTATACATTAAATTACGTCATTTAACATGTTTAATCGTATTAAATTAAAAGTTAATTACGTTAGTTAAATTCAATTTTGTATTAAATGACGTGATTTAAAATGGCAAAAAATATGTAAGAAGAGCTTCAGCTAAAATAACGTACTTTGATTTGCAGAGGAGACATTACAAAGCGCGTTACACACACGCCATTTATTCTTTAACACACACACACACACACACACACACACACACACACACACACACACACACACACACACACACACACACACACACCCACACCCCCTCCTTCTTTCTTTTTCTTTCTCTTTCTGTGTATGTGTGTGTGAATATTTTTGTGTATAAAATAAGATAAATTGATACAAACAAAACAAATTTTTGATTTTAAAAGAATATATGTATAACACATTGCAAATTGTAAATTTTAATTTTTTTCCAATTTAATTTATTTAATTTTTATTTAATTAATTTCAATTTAAGTTTTCTTTATCACATACGCTAAAAGAATTTTGAAATCATAGTACGTGTAGGTGTAAAATTAAAATTTTAAAAATACTTTTCTTATCCGTAACACGAAATAATCTGCTCGACAGCTGTCAGAACATGGTCTCTACAGTCACTCTCTTAGACAGTTATTCTTATAATACGAAGTAAGAAAATAAAAGAACGCATCGTGGAAATGCGGAACTGAACCTCTTACATCCTTTTTTTAAGAGTAGGAAACATCGAAATTCATACTTGTGTAAAAAAGCGCTTTTATATTAACATTAAACAGAGATATTGCGAGCGACCCAACTGGCCAAATTTTATTGATTTACAACGCTACGTTTCGACCGTGGATCCGGTCCTTTTCAAGCGATCTCTCACAAATATATTCGTCAGGCATAATGCCCTAACTACGCCGAATCTAGAAACTAAACAACATATTTCAGTACTTTGCAATAAGTAAATGACAATCAAAAATCCGTAATTATACAATTAGAAACTTACATATTTGTGCGTCAGGATCAAACAATACAATATAAAATATTCGTTAAACGGCATACTTCGTTAGATGTTTGTGTCATGTCAGAGCCGTGCGGTGGTAAAATTTAGACTGACGAACTTGACAATATAAAAACAAACAGTTGCCGCAGTAATAAGCTAGGACGTAGAGAGGGAAGTAGCGAAGAAGGGGAAGGAGTTATAATTCTTTTATGATATGTTCGTAGAGAACGTTAAGATTCTCCGTGTCCTTTTGTAAATTGATAGTGCCGTCAAATTTTTTAATAAAAAACATCTCCGCTAATTCCCTCTTTCTAGTATGTCTTTCTTGGTGTAATATTTCTGGTTTCCCCCAGTCAAAATCATGCCCATAAGACATTCTGTGTTCGCTCACTACGGAATGATTACTAGTGTGCTTTCTGATATCGCCCTGGTGTTCCCTGAGGCGCGTGCACAAATGTCTCTTAGTTTGCCCAATATATCACCAGCTTGGTTGACCGCGCCATACTACTTTCAGACGAAAAATTTCATAACGGCAATATTAAAATAGTTAAAGAAATTTTGCACAATAATAGCTTTCCTAAACCAATCGTTAATAAACACATCGCCAAGCGTCTAAACATTCTCAAAACACGCAACAATACACATAACATCTCGATTGACCATAATGCAACCTTCGATTTAAAAAACTGCATACCTTTACCTTATATCAAAAAGTTGAGTGATAGCATTTGTCGCACGTTAAAAGAACTCCACATTACCACCTTATTTACAGTCCCTAAAAAACTCGATTGCCTAATAAGACGAGGTAAGGATAGAATTGACGACCTTAAAAAAACAGATATAGTATACAAGATAAACTGCAGGGATTGCAAGGCTACGTATATTGGGCAAACTAAGAGACATTTGTGCACGCGCCTCAGGGAACACCAGGGCGATATCAGAAAGCACACTAGTAATCATTCCGTAGTGAGCGAACACAGAATGTCTTATGGGCATGATTTTGACTGGGGGAAACCAGAAATATTACACCAAGAAAGACATACTAGAAAGAGGGAATTAGCGGAGATGTTTTTTATTAAAAAATTTGACGGCACTATCAATTTACAAAAAAACACGGAGAATCTTAACGTTCTCTACGAACATATCATAAAAGAATTATAACTCCTTCCCCTTCTTCGCTACTTCCCTCTCTACGTCCTAGCTTATTACTACGGCAACTGTTTGTTTTTATATTGTCAAGTTCGTCAGTCTAAATTTTACCACCGCACGGCTCTGACATGACACAAACATCTAACGAAGTATGCCGTTTAACGAATATTTTATATTGTATTGTTTGATCCTGACGCACAAATATGTAAGTTTCTAATTGTATAATTACGGATTTTTGATTGTCATTTACTTATTGCAAAGTACTGAAATATGTTGTTTAGTTTCTAGATTCGGCGTAGTTAGGGCATTATGCCTGACGAATATATTTGTGAGAGATCGCTTGAAAAGGACCGGATCCACGGTCGAAACGTAGCGTTGTAAATCAATAAAATTTGGCCAGTTGGGTCGCTCGCAATATCTCTGTTTAATTTTAATTATTCACTGGCGACTCAAATTCTCTAATACTGTTTATATTAACAATTTTGATATATTAATTTCTATATTAACAATTCTATATATAGATGTTTATATAATTCGCTGATTCATATGCATGTATCGATAATATTATCTTATAAACTCGATAAATGTAACTAGAGATAATATTGTGTTATGAACTTGAAAATATATCGCAGAAATAATAAGTAATAGTAAGAAATAGAAACAATTACCAAATGTTTAGATTATTGCTGTGAGACTTTTATCGCTTTTTTGAACATTTACATTCACACTCGCTATAACTTATATATACCTATTATGAAAAATTCAAAAGAAGATTTACTAAGGGCCAATTTCTTCACCGTTGGATAACTCTATCCTTCGGTTAACCTCACTCTTCATTTCTTTCTAACCTGCAGGTTAGAAAGAAATGAAGAGTGAGGTTAACCGAAGGATAGAGTTATCTGACGGTGAAGAAATTGGCTATAATGCGGTCAGTGTTTAAAAATTAATATGTCAAAAATTGACTGCGATAAGTTCTTTCTTCGATATCCTTGAAATATTGATGAATTAAGTAAAGTCCTCTTTCATCAATTGTCAACTATTTATAAATAATACCATATTTGATGTGGTGAAACGAATGGTTTAGTAATAAACCGGTATATATATCTGAGCGCGGATATTTTATACAAATTTTCGTACAAGTTTCTATTTCCACTGACGACATCTTGAAGATCTTAAATAGTTTTCGTTCCTCATTACGAAAGTGTCGTCTATTCGTTATCACAAAATGCACGCTATGCTAGCGCAAGGACTCCGCGCGATTCTTATAAGAAAAACGTTTTCGGTCAATTTGCTTGAATATGTGATATGTTGTGGAATTACATATGCGGGCAGGCAAACTCGTGTAGACAAACGTATACAAACTGTTCTTGTGAAGGAGATTTTCAAATGCTTACAATTCAGAAACTAATCATAGAAAATTGATGAAGTTTGAGATTTTCCATTAGGGATACAAGAATTAATTATACATAACATAACATATCAATCAAATTTACCAGTTTTTTTGACAACGGAGTCAGCGGTATTATAGCAGATTATGTTTGGCAACAGGCATGGTGGATGGTTACCTCGTATGGAATCCGAAATGTCACATGCTGTCCAAAAAACCTCTGGATCCGTCCATCGCGAAATTCGTGAGGAAGGAAAAACTGGAGAAATGCCCGAACGATCGTGTCCTCTCACAAATTTCGAGGGAACCTAACGGCAGCGTGTTTCTTTCCCTCGATCCCGCCCTAAAGACCATGCACAGCGATGTCGCATGCTGTTGGTCGTCTGTAGTCAGGCCCAAGGTGGATAGACCCAAGAAGGACAATTACGACTCAACGATATCGTAAGATTTATTATCGTCACTCTATACATTGAAAGTTCCAGTGTTATCTTAAAACATTTGGATGCCTTGAATAAACAAAGTTTAATCAAATCAGAAAATAATTAAGTGGCAAGAGTTAATTTATTTATTTATTTGATGCAATAAAAAAACCGTATCTGAAACGATTAAAGTCGTAAGCTATAGGGGGTAAACAGTACAGTTGTTGACCACTCTACAATGATTTGCTACATCTTAAAAAATTAAAGATTATCAAGAAATACTATTATATAAAATGTTTTTAATTATAAATACAAAAATATTATAATTATTATTTTTTTATAATTAAACACATTTTAAAATCTTTATATTTTTAAGATGTGGCCAATCATTGTAGAGTGGCCAACAACTGTACCTACTGTTTACCTCTAACTGGCCAATTGAAATTTTTCCTGAAAAACACTTGTCGATCATTTCTTCTCAATAGAGTCAAGCAATGCGAGAACTTCACGGGACAAGTGATGCTTCCGCGCGAAGTGGAGGTGGCGTACGTGTCATGCAAAGCGAAGACGAAGTCGAAGCCCAAGACGAAGACGAAGAACACGAAGCTGTCGGCTACGGTGAATACGGTGTACGAGAACGTTCACGCGATCCTGAACCCGGAGAAGGTACGCGAACGCATAGATCACAACGGCAGTCAATCCGGAAACTTTTCGAGGAAGTTAAGCGTGCTCATCCTCGGCATCGACAGTGTCAGCCGGCTGAACTTCTACCGGGCCATGCCGAAGACCGAGCGATACCTGCGCGAGACCGGTTGGATCGGCCTAAAGGGCTACAACAAGATCGGCGATAACACGTTTCCGAATCTGATGGCGATCTTAACCGGTCAGACGCCGCAGCAGGCGTACTCGCGGTGCAAGCCGACAGTGGCCTACAAACTCGACAACTGCCCCTTCCTCTGGCACAACTTCCGCAACGCCGGCTACGTCACGGCCTACGGCGAGGATGAGACCATCCTGAACACGTTCAACTACCTCAAGGTCGGCTTCGTCGAGCCGCCTACGGACTACTACTTGAGACCGTACATGTTAGCCAGCGAGAAACTTCTCAAAATCAAGAAAAGGTAACAAAGTTTTATATAATTATTATTTATATCTATATTATCTAAAAACCTGATTTTTTTGCCGACTGAAGAGATTTCCTTTCGCGCTGTTTACAGATTCAACATGAAATACTGTACGGGACCCGAGTTGAGCTTCGAACGGATCTTCGACTACGCTGTGAACTTTGCCCAGACCTTCGTCAGCGCGCCGTATTTCGGTTTCTTCTGGACGAACACGATCAGCCATGATAACATGAACAGCATCTCGTCGATGGACAATCGTGTGTTGAAGAAATTCGAGTTTCTGGAACAGGAGGGAATACTGAACGATACAATGATAGTTTTCCTGAGCGACCACGGCATGCGCTGGGGTGAGTTTCGCAACACCTTCGTCGGCTGGTACGAGGAGAGATTGCCGTACATCTACATCTGGCTGCCGGAATGGTTCCGCCGGGAGAATCCCGAGGCCCATCGAGCCCTCGCGGTGAATCAGAATCGACTCACCTCGCCGTACGATCTCTACGAGACGCTGCGCGATGTCCTCGCCGTCGGAGGTGGCGACGCTGATTCCAGTTCGGGATGTTCCACCTGTCAGTCCCTTTTCACCCCCGTCCCCAGAGAGAGGGGCTGCCAGGACGCGGGTGTGGCTTATCATTGGTGCACTTGTACGGCCTTCAAGTCGATCAACGTCAACGACAGGATCGCCTCCGGTGGTGTGCAGAAGTTCCTGGATCATGTTGAGAGCATCGTGAAAAATTACAAGAACAAGAAAGGTCGGCGACTGTGCGCGCGACTCAAGCTGAAAAAGGTGCACCGGGTGAGCCAAATGATCGACTTCGGCACGGATAGCCCGTCCAGCGTCGCGTATTTCTATATGATTCAGACGGCACCCGGCAACGGGAACTTCGAGGTAACCATCAGATATCACGGCGACGGCAATTACACTTTATCCGACAGCGAAGTTAGCAGAATCAACCCATATGCTGTGAGCGCCAGGTGTCTAAATCGCGGCATGAAGCAGTATTGTCATTGCATGAAGTAGACATCGCGAACTCACTCAAGTTTTGGCTCTGTACGCGTTGTCGCAACTTTGTACTTCATTAGCGTTTCGATGAATCGAATCAATCGCCGCAGAAGTCAACTTTTTTAACCCTTAAGTGCGCAATTTTTCGTGGCATTCTGAGTATTTAAATAAATAATGACTACTTAAGAAATCTTTAAAAAATATTTAAAAAATTTTTTACTAATAATTTAAACCCTTTACAGATGGAAAGACCCTTTATGCTTTTCCATTCAAAAGGGAAAAAAGAGTCAAAAGGCCCTTTATAAATATGCAAAATCGCGCGTTTTCAGTTTGAACTCCATAAGGGAGAGCGATCACGGAGCATCGAAAAGTCACTTTGCATATATGCAAAATTATGCACTTAAGGGTTAACCAAAACGTATAACTCGTTAGAAAAGAAGCGACTCCCACACAGCAGCGAAAATATTCAAACGTTACTTTAAATAACTTTTCAGAAACGTAAGATCTTGCGACGAGCGTTTGCATGACGTACTACCGCGAGTTTTACTTTTGCGTGTCTTTTCCGCAATGATCGATCAAACTTAATTGCTTTATTAAATATATATGTACTATCATGCGACAATTTTGAATCGATTTCTGTTTAACGCGCAAATGTGTGAGGCATAGTTCTACTGATATGCTTGGTACATATCAAAAGTTGATTGCCTCATCTCAAGGAACTATAGGGACCTGAGTGTGGATATACATGGACATACTTTCGTTTACCAAGAATAGCTGGGACTAGATTTTTTTTTAAGCCACAGCTTAGCAATAGTCGGTTCGATACCAATGAATTAAATTTATTAATTTAAGAAAAAAGGACCTTGCCCAAAATGGACCATTGGCGCACAACATTGAATTATATGCCATTTCGTAGGTATTGTTATTGTGTACATCATTAGAAAAATAAGTTTAAGTTCTGGGATGGTGGGCGGAAGAAGTTATGACTGATTCAATTATCAGTCTTAATATCTTATTCATTATCACCGTCAGAACTGTCAGAAAATGATATAAAAATTACTTCAATATGCTCTGATGGTAGTGTGATTCTTGCGTTTGAGTGTTTTTTTTCTTTCGGCCAAAAAGAGCAAACCAGGCGTGACTTAGTCAAACAAACCCATCCCTGATAACGGTCAACGATAGAAAACGATAAAAAATTTCTTATCGTTTTTAATACGATTAGTGAATCGTTTATTTACGGTACTCTATCAGAAACTCACGTTAGAAAATACTTGGAATTCCATCATAAATGTCTTATCAGCTATACATCAGTTTTTATCGTTTTTAATATAGTTAGTGAATCGTTTATTTACGGTACTCTATCAGAAACTCACGTTACAAAATACTTGGAATCTTATCGTAAATGTCTTATCAGCTGCATATCAGTTTCTATCGTTTTTAATGCGGTTAGTGAATCGTTTATTTACGATACTCCATCAGAAACTCACGTTACAAAATACTTAATTGGGATCCTATCGTAAATGTCTTATCAACTGCACATCAGTTTCTATCGTTTTTAATATGGTTAATGAATCGTTTGAATCGGTTTTAGTCAATCCATTTCAATCGTTACGAATAGGAATCAGATTCATACCGATTCATTTCTTTCAATCTTTCAATTTTTATCATTTTGAAGAACGTCGGGAACGGGGCAACTAGCGCCAGGAGTCGGAGACCACTGGGCTCGATGTTCGGTGTCCGGGGCGGCTACCGCCAGGAGGTCCTTATAGGAAGAGATCCCTCCAGTTACGATACTGGATTTCTCTGCTTTTTGCCTCGCAAGGAGTCTGCTTATATATTATGACTGGATGTATTTTAAATACGAGAAGCGCTTTCCATCATGCGCGACCTAAGCGGCATTGTCGCGAACTAATCGCCGATTGGTTGATGCGGATTCAATTTATATCATAGATATACGATAAAAAACGAACCGATTTGCTGCTGTAAAAAAGATGATAAGTTGTATGTCAGAAAATCCTCATAAAAAACGATAGATGTATCGGTTCGGTTAAGTCCGTATAAATATCGACGAGATGTCTATTGTTTTAACCTTATAAAAACATATGCAAAGTAGAAGGCTTTCAAACGATTCAATTTATATCATGGATATACGATAGAAAACGAACCGATTTGCTGCCGTACAGAAGATGATA